TTGTGAAAATGGTCATTATTAGTGGTGATTTAAATGGATAGGCGTTTTTTTTTTTTTTTTTTAAATCACAGTGGTATTAATTGCATTTGGATTTGTGTTTCTCAGTCCCTTCAGCCTTTCTCATCTGAATGCGAGCCTCCTCATACGCAGAACAGACCGCTGCCTGTTCTCCTGACATAACGTAATATTCATCGTCGCACACAGTAGACGATGAGTTTGCAGCGGGGTGGAGGGGGAGGGTGACCTCACGGATTCTGATGAAAAAAACATTCATCAGCTGTACACAGCTCAGTTCACAGGCAGCCATTCTTCCAGCAAACAAAGAAGTGGTGGTTTGAAAAAACAGCTTGTGTCCATTTTAGCAGATTGGTGACAGGAGAGCCAATTTTATTTCTGTTGTTTCGTGGTTTACTTTTCACATCAGGGTTTTTGGCTGACCTTTTATGATATAATATTCTTCCATGCAGTTATTAAAAATGTACCTGTGGTAATGTGTGTTTTTTAGGGGCCTGGACCTTCCTGTGGTTCGTGTGTTTCTGCCTGTTGGCAAGTCAGTGGAGTCGCACTCATGATGTCCATGGTATCCCTGAAGACGCTGCACGAGCCTCCATCGCCTTCTCATTCTTCTCTATCGCCACCTGGGTGAGCAGAAATGCTTCAACCCCTTTTTAGACTATGGCTATGTAACATTGCTGCCTTCAGCAATCTGTTAAAGTGACTGCATGCTGTCATTCAGAAAAAGAGAGAGCCAAGGTACTATATTTGTCATGTGCAGGCATATGAAACTAAACAGTACATCAGTGTGACATAATGCATATTAATGCATGAATAAAAAAAAAGATGACAAGTAAATCCGCTATGTAGAGAAAAAGGGTTAACTGCAGCTTATAAACTGTGACTCTTTGGCTATATTGGGCAGAATTTTTAAGTAAATAATGAAGTTGCTTCTATTTCACATGGGTAAGTGCAACAACTCTCCTGCTTTGGAAACAGTGACATGGATCCTGATGCTGCAGGTATTTAATGAACTCAGAGGAAAGACTCCTACAAACAGCTGAAAACAACAAACTAAACTTCAGCTCCTGTTAACATTTTGACAAAACCTGGATTACTTTTCTTATCGGTGAGGCGTCTTTCAGATATAGACGCAGTGACACAAAGAACCACGGTACTATATTCATCATATGCATGAAACTACACAGTACATTAAGTGACAAAATATATAATTAAAGCTTCAAGCAGTGTTGGTCGGGTCCTCGGTCCGCGTTGGAACCTCATGGCCATCTGACCTCCATTTTGACACAAGCTGAACCTGCTTTAAGTTGAAGGAGCCATTTTTCTGTCTCTGCTCAGCCTCAGACTGTCAGTGAGTCACATGACCAGCTGCACTGAGCTGCCAATCAGCATTAAAGCTGCAGGTGATGATGTCATCGTTCTTTATGCCCCTGGGTGAGAGAGTGACATTTTTACTCACTTTAACTCTCCCATACAGCCACAATTTTGACCTAATATGTGTAAAAACAACATATTTTTGTGGTAAATCTTGTTTGGAAGCCCTCAGTGTCATTTTT